TGCCCAAGACAAAAAGGAAGTTCAAAAGTTTTTTGGGAATGGGTACTATCGATGCTTCTGCAAGAACTTTTTTGACATTATTCTACCAAGGGTGTGTGGTGCTAAACTCGCTGTGCATTTTATTAAGAGCACCAGTACACCTGTTTATTCATTAAATTATCTAATCAGCGGATCATCTGGCAACAGTACAATTCATCAAATCATGCCAATACTGACAAGGACTTTCAATCAAGCACCAGAATTGCAAAAACACTAGAATGGGGAAAACATATGATCATAGTTGCATGATGATTGGTGCCAGATGGGCTGGTTTGAGTATTTTTGTAATTGCTGATTCTGTTGTGTGTGGAATCCAGGGATTTTCACACACAATAGACTTTAGACTTTGCTCAAAATGAAAATATATCCAGTGAACAGCAGTTCTGCAGATGCAAACACCTTGTGGATGTAAGAGGTCAGCGGAGAATGGTGAGAGCTAATAGAAGGTTATAGTGACTCAGGAAACCATTGTGTATAACTATAATGAGCAGAAAAGCATGTTAGAAGGCACAACATGCTGAACCTTGATGTGGATTAGCTACAACAGCAGCAAGACCAGGTCAGGTTCCACTTCTGTTGAGGCACACAGATGGTAGGGTCAGAAATGGCAAAATCATTAATTCATGGACCCCCTTGCGTCAACGGTCCAGACTGATAATGGTGTAATGGTGTAAAGAATGTTTTCTTAGCACACCTTGGGCTGTTAATACCAATCGATGACAAATATAATAAATCTCTAGATATTCCGTAATGCAATCTTGTCCGCATGGAGTAGAACATCAAAGTACTGTTTTCAATCCATGCCATGATGAAGGCTGTTCTGAGAGCAAAGGGAGATGCTACCCATGAGTATTAGTTTAGTGTTCCTAATAAAGTGCTCAATAGGTATAAATGAGGTGGGTATAGCCTGGGGGGCTGCAGTGTACATCCTGGTAGCTGTCAATGATCCACCACAGATCCTGATGCTGGTCCTTTTCCGTGTGGAAATGGTCTTATTCTGAAAGCACTGTGCAGAGAGCTAGTAAGTGGGATTGTTCCAGCTGATTGAAATGGTAAACTGGCTCTGAGAAATGGAGGCCAGGTTTCCAGACTCTGTAGTTCAGGGGATACATGTTTTTCAGTACAATATCATGGCAATGACTCCAGTTGTAGAAGAGACCAGATCATGCCAAAACTCAACTTCAAACTTCAAGCCATTGTACTCTTCTGATGTTCTGATCACTTATAGGCTCCCTGACCCTCCCCCGACAAAAAAGGGGCTAATACTTGAGCTCAGCCCGGCCACAGCTACCATTCCCTTTTTGGCAGTTCCCTCAGATGTTGGGAGGTACATCTTGGCGTCATCCTCAGCAGTGAGCTTTGTAAGGAGCAGGTGGGTGGTGGGTCAGGATTTCTGATCTCCCCACTGTGCTATAATGGTATCTTGGTCCTATTGATGGGATAGCTGGACAAGCTGCTGTCAGCATATCAAATAACCAGACCCCATTTTGGTCCCATTCATGGGTAAGATTTTGCATTTCAGCAGCACCTACACCAAGGTTATTCAACTCACGGTCCTCGAGGTCTGAGCACTGCTGGTTTTCCAGCCTTCCTTTACCTGTCAGTCAGGTGTGAAGCCTCTGACCAATCAGAATCAGTAATTATTAAACAACTACCTGGGAGAACTGAAAACACGGCCTGGATTTGGAGTCAAGGTCCAGAGTTGTAGAACCCTGACCTACACCCTCTACCAGTGTGGTGGGCAAGGAGATGTTCAGGAGACATGAATGTGCACCTGGCTCTGGATGGGCCTACATTTATTTAAGGATAGGGGGAATAATAAAATAGAGAAAGGCACTAATAAGGGGCTACAGCTACTGGTTCAGGCAATGGCCTTCCCATGAGTGGTTTCCAGGTTGTCTATGGTTTCCAGCTTTATAAAATAATATAAATATAAAAAGTGGATGTCCAGGGCCTCCTGACAAAGTCTGTGCCAGAGAGGACCTCAGAACCCTCCACACCAGGATCTGCGGGAGATTGTTGATGGCTACTGAAATGTGTTTCTTGGCCATCCAGGCTGGACATCCTCATCCAACACCACATCACAACTCTGCTCAAGGTCATACCAAATCCTAGAGGGACAGTGCTGGGCGTTGGGGGACGAGGTGGAAAAGCGGCAGATAGTCGTGATTGAGGAGTCTCAAAGCCCTTGCTTCAGCTCCATTGTGATGGTCCTTAAGCCAGACAGCACCCTGTAATTCTGCAATGACTTCAGCTGGCTGAACAAGGTAACACAACTCAATTTCTGCCCCATATCTTCCCCATGGATGAGCTGGTAAAACATCTTGGTGCTTCATATCTACTTTAGACAAAAGGTTATTTGCAGATGCCCCTCAGTCCAGTCGCCAGGGAGAAGATGGCCTTCAGCACAACCAGAGGTCATTGGCAGTACTGGGTTCTCCCTTTTTATGAATGATCGGGTGCCAACATGCCTCAAACAACTCATGGACATCATACTGTACTTTGCCTCCAGCAAGAGTATGCAGCAGCCTACCTAGACAACATTCATGCTGATTGCTGGGAGGAGCACCTTGTTTGGGTACTAGACTCAACAAGGCTCAAGGAGGCCTGCTGCCTGGGGTTCCTTTTTAGTCGAGGTTTGCTACAGAAGAAACTTGAGGATGTCTGAAACGTCCCATGTCCCAGTTTTTTTTGCACTAAAACCTGGTACATAGGACTGCCCAGTTATCTACCCCTTTCTCATATTCACTCCTTTGCAATATCTGAGTTATATGTACATTGCACTACACAGTACATGCCTATGTATTTATTGTAATAGTTGTAATTGTATTTATTGTTTGACTGTAAGCACCATAATTTGTATTTGTGATCTGTGTTTTGTGTTTAATTTGTGTTTACTGGTGGTCTAATAAAACATGCCCCAGTGGGGATTTTTCTAAACCTCCATCTCCTGAGCCTTTTTGCCCACAACAGATTTAATTCATTTTGACCCGGAAGAAACATAGAACATAGACTTAAATCTATGTGCATAATAAGTTGAAATGTGACATTCTGACAAACAATTACTATATTACAACATATTAACTATATTACTATATTATATTACTTCTTTGCCCATGGGTAAGCCTCTCTGAATCACTGTATTGTAGAAACCCTTACTACATACAGTATGTCAAGACTGTGGGCAAAGTAATACCATTTGTCTGGTTTATTTGTTGTGATTAACGAACCACAGATTAATGCACTTGATCAGCCACAACTAGATCTTGGCTTTAGGCTGCACACATACTGGCATAGTTTCACATACATAGAAAAACCCATACTTGTGCAAAAAACAAATTCACTTATATGACTATATTACCATGAATAGTGACTGTGCGTAACACAGAACTTCCAGGTTTATATTTTAAGTCAATTAGTAAATTTTATTTTTGTGAACTTTCTGAAGCAAAAAATTTCCATTTATAATTTCAGTCCAGTGATGGACTGATTTCTGGAAATGCTTTATAATGAAGCATATTGAGTTAATGTTGGTATGAAACAAAAGACTTGATGTTCATTTATGAAATGTTTCTCTGGATGGGTGATCCTCTCCAGCAACTTTACATGACAACAGATAGCAGAAAGCAAACATTTATGTCAGTTGTAGAGGCCTACATCACGTTTAGTTATTGTTGAAAAAAGAACTAACCACTAGACATGGGATAATGGAAGAGTCTGTCAGAGAATAGAGAAACTCCATCATTGTGGTGCCTAGATCTGATGAATCTATTCAGTTCTTTATTGACAATGGAGAAGTAATCAAAGAGTTGGTTGCTTATTCAAAGCCAGAATTACCATATAGGGATGGGTATGGCTCACATGTATTTGATACTGAATTAATTGAGAGCCAAAAAAGGGCAAAATTGAGGCAAGTGAAGACAAATAATTTTTATATAGATTTCTGCAATAAGGGGATTCATTGGCCACTTTGTTTTACAGATCAAAGGATCGATTCTTTGTCCTCATGTTGCTTAAACTATGTTAAACCTGTGTAGGCCATATCGAAAAAAGCAAGATAAGCCATGGACTATTCAGCATCATGATATGTGCTGTCCGGTGCTTCACCCTCCACTCTGACCATAACTCACAGCAGTGCTAACATTGCATATTGAGTACCACTGGTGGAATTGACCACAGGTTTCTCAAATTGCAGTACTTGATTAGTTCTGTGAGGTCTATGGTGTGTTGATTTGCTGGTAGAGGAATGTAATGAAGTGTTTATGTACAAACAGGTTAATTTTTAAGTTCATCCTCCATCCTTCTGCTTTTATTAAACCCATCTCCATACTCACCTACACATAACGTCCATCCCCATATCAACATGACTCTTTTCCCTATCCAGCCCAGTGTAGCTAGTATTACTACAACTCAGAAAATACGAGTATAAAACTAGCTTTATCTAGAATACATGCAGTGGTTTGTATATTTAGTGTACAGTTCAGTATGGTTCTTCTGGAAACCAATTTATTATGAATTATTTCTCTCTGCCCAACAATTACTTATTTAGTATAAATTGTACAATTTCACATTTTCTATCCTTTATCCATGTTTTACCGTCATTAAGATGGGCTTATAAAACAGTACTACTTATGAATGAGATATGTTCCGAACAGCTGTTCGTAACTTGAAATGTTCGTAAGTCGTTATTCAACATCATTTTAAGGGTATACGCAAGTACAAAGAACTAGGATGCTGGGAGTACGCACACTACGCTGCTGGTGCAATGGGAGTAGCGGCCAGAAGTCGTATTAGGCGGAATTGGCGCACAGAAAAAAAAGAATTGATGTTGCGGACAGGAAACAAAAACCCAAGGAACACAATTTGGACTTACAGTCCTCTTCGTTCGTATGTCTGAAAGTTCGTAAGTTGAAAGTTTGTAAGTAGAGGGGTGTCTGTATTTGAAGTTATTGAAAGATTGATCAGTAGGCACACTAAACAACTTTATTAATCATAAACCAGCTGTCTAAGAGAATGTCCACAGAGAATGATATTGTAAAATATACTGAATTAAACACAAGCATAACCTGCCTCCTTTTAAACCCCAAAAAGGTTAACCTGCAATATTGAGCCATACCTTAGACAAAAAGCATCAAACATATGCATCAGGCTGATGTTAGTCTCATTCTCATTCTGTTAACCGCACATCAGAGTACAGACTCTGCTCTCTCTTCATTCTTTGAGTTTTTGACTTCTCCTCATTAAAGTGCAAGGCAGTGTAATTCAGCATCTCTGCGTCATGTTCCTGGGGTGGGGGATGGGAAACGAAGAAATCAGATCCAATGAAATGTTTAATACATGAATGTTAATGTCTAACACATTTTAAAATTATACTTTTACCTGCTTGTTTCTTTCTTTTGTCTTGGGGGAATTAAGATTATCTTCCTCAGAGACACGTGCTTTTAAAATACACAGAAGAAAAAAATAGAAAAGCAGTTTTAAATGATCTTTCATGGTTTTTCTATAATATTATTTCTTTATTTTCTATATTTGATCATACACTATACCATAAATACCCTGCAGCCCTAAGTAGGATAAGTGAAAAATGGATGGATAAACTAAATATGTAATATGATCAACAAGATGATTAGACATACTCATTTAATACATCCATTTTCTGTAGTTGCAGGGGAGTCTGGAGCCATGAAGAATAAGTTAAGGGTGCAAGACAGGGAACAACCCAGGATGGGGCACCAACCCATTGCAGTGCGCAAGACAGGGAACAACCCAGGATGGGGCACCAAGCCATTGCAGTGCGCAAGACAGGGAACAACCCAGGATGGGGCACCAACCCATTGCAGTGCGCAAGACAGGGAACAACCCAGGATGGGGCACCAAGCCATTGCAGTGCGCAAGACAGGGAACAACCCAGGATGGGGCACCAACCCATTGCAGTGCACTCTCACAGCTATGGGCAGTTTGGCAACTCCAATTAATCTCAGCATGTTTTTGGACTGTGGTGAGGGAAACTGAAGTTCCCAGAGGGAACCCTATAATGAGACAGGGAGGACATGCAAACTCCACACACACGGACCCATGGTGGGGGCTTGAACCCTGGTCCCCAAGGTGTGGGGCAGCAGTACTAACCTCTGCACCATTCTAACCCCTTGATTTTCACACTAGTATTTCTCATTTGCTCCTTAAAACAATCGCTTATACATCATCATCATCATCATATCAAAATAGCAACACAGCCTACCTGCACAATGCTTACAGCATGTCGTCTTATTTCTGGTACTCACAAGTATAACCATTATTGTCACGCACAAAAGTAGTGCAGTTCCCAGGCCAATGATTACTGGACTCGCAGATAAAGATCCTGTATGAAATTAAATAGTTTAATTGATATTTATTCATATAAAATGCTCTCACAGATTACCAGGTGTAGACATTACACAATATCTCCCACAATTGTTTTGGTTAGATGGCAAAGAGACCTCCATTACTCTTCTGATTGACACAAGGGCATTTTAAATCTTTTTGAGGTACACTAATGTGTCTTTTTTTTTTTACAATTTTGTTCTTTGTTTCCTGTTCAGTGTTAGTTCAATGTTCAACTAGCTTCATTGTTAGCTAGTAGAAAAGAATAAGTAGCTGGCGAAAGCTGAATTATTTTTCTTATATCATAAATACCCTGTAGGTCAAAGTAGGATAAGTGAAAAAGGGATGTATAAATATCTCAACTGAAACAAAATCCGAAACATAGACTCATGTATGAACTAACGCTGTAATAATTCTAATCTTCATTAATATCTTTTCCTTCACTATTACTGCTGCTGATTAAGCTTAAAGAGATCAATATCTGTGCTTATGTGCAACTGCAATATGAGGAAATGTTGCAAGTAACAGAATCTCCAACAAACAAAATGAAAAACTATATGAGGAATAAAAATGCAAAAGTGCAACTGATTTTACAACATTGTTTGTAATATCAGTGTTTACAATATGAAAAAACAGAAAAAAATACCAAGAACTGTTAGATGTAAAAATGGTAAAGCTTAAATATTCTTAAATACACATTGATATACATATATACACACACATCACATATATCAGTTGTTCCATAATAATAATGGAGCAAAAAAAAAAAAAGTTTTAAAAACTTACCTTCTATGTGAACCTTTGTCCCATTGCCAAACAGCATCTCCCCACACATGGCCACAGCGCAGTAGTAAGTCCCAGCATCAGAGAGGCTGAGGTTCCTCTTGGGGAGGCTGTAGACACAGCTCCGTGTAGGAGATCCAGCCTCAGGGCTCTTCTCACACTCATCACTCCTGTTTCCATGGCTGTAAATGACTCCTGGAAGGGATTCTCCTGATCCATGTCTGAACCAGTAAACACTGTGTTCTCCTGCACAGTTCTCACTCTCTGTTGTACACTGCAGGGTCACAGAGTCTCCCGGCTGGACTGGGTCAGACACAGGATACTGCTCTACTTTACTGTATCTGTGTTGTTTTCTGGAACCTAATGAACAAATGTGTTCAATAAAGCATTGGAATAATATCAACTGATGTAACTTGATGTTCAGTGTAGAATTTGTGTACTGATTTTCCACCAAAGATGCTTAAACAGCATCTACAAATTTGATTATGATGTAAGATTTACCCTTTATTGTAAGAAAAGTTCCAGCTCCAAACAGAATTAAGTAATCTCTTCTCGTTCCACAGTAATACATCCCTGAATCCGATGGTTCTGTCTTTAAGATTATAAAATGATTGATTTCCTCATATATTTTCACTTTGTAGCGTGTTGGCTTAAAGTTGTTGTGAAATGTTGCCTCTGACGCAAATTTGAAAGTTGATGCTATTAGAAGAGGTCTCTGGCTGATAATTAGCTTAAACCAAAACACAGAATGAGCCTCGTCTTTGGGAAATGAACATTCCAAAGTCACATTGTCTCCGGCTTCAACTGTCAAGAGTGGACTAGGCTGAACAACCGTATTGCTTAATGCCAAATCTGAAAAAAAAGAAAAATATTAGTAATTGCCTACATATTTAACCCACACAGAAGCTTTTAAAATACAGTCATAATACTGTTAAAGGAACATATGTTCTTTCGCACATTCAAGCACATTCATTTAAAAGATTGTTTAGCCAATACAATGATTATTACAAAAAGTTATATTATTATGACAAATGTAAAAATGGCTTACAACAAGCATTCTCTGTTGCACTTACATAATTTGCTGAAATGAGCCAAAATTACACAGAGTCTGATCATCCTGAATGATGTTCTCCTGTGGTTTGTAGCAAGGCTTTTCTGCACACTGAATGCACCACAGATCGTAGGGTCATATGAGAGTAGGGGTGGCTAAACTGGTGTTTTTGATTTGTGGAATCAACAGTATATCATTTATTATTTTTAAATAAATTTTTACCAGAATTTTTGAATCTCTTCTATTTAGTGCGGTTAATAAGTGTTAAAAAAAATCACACAGTTGTGATGTAGGAAGCCAAAAGACTTGCAGTGCTGTGAATTAAGGTTTATGTGACATTTTGTGTGTTAATAAACATGTGCATTTTGGAGCCACCAGCTAGTACTGTTTTTTAACTGTATATCTGCTTCTGCCACAGCATAAATCCAAATAAGTTCAGGATGAATCATAACATGTACAATTAAAATGTAACCATTTCCACATTTGTCCACAACCTAAGACCCCCTCCCCCCAAGTCACTTCCAATGTAAGGAACAGACCCTCGCCTCTGTCTGGCTATATGAAAAAGCACGGATTGCTTGGGGTGGAAAACATGTGGAAATCACCCCCTGCATAGTCATTATTTAGGAGAAGCTTTGACTTCTCAGAGGAAGTGTTGAGTAGTAGCTTATCTTTTGGACCAGGACCAAGCAGAGGTGTGTAGTCAGGCATCAGGAACAACTGCTCCTCCAACTGTGCTACTCTGATATTAATTCAAGGCACTGAAATAGGCAATTTCAAAGCTGCTTCACCGAAGTTACTTAAAGCAGGAAATTTTATGCTGTAACTAGATACATATTGCATGTGACCACATCCTGTACTGGTCTTCATATTCTGGCTTCCTTTGAGTATCCCCTAAGTATACGCATATTTTGCAGAACACACAGGAATCGGCTTAAATTTAATTTTACCTCTGAACCCTTTGACCTTTCTCTGGGACACCAGTGCTACAGTAGGCATGGTAACTTTCACACAGTAATTCTTTGAAAATATTTCCCCTATCACAGAGTTTTCTCTCACCTCTACCAAATGCACCCAGACCCTGATGCCTGACCCTTTCCACAGTTGCAGCTGTTCCGCATACAGATGTTCGTTTGGCATAATTTTATATATTTGTTTCCCCGTGCTATTCCTTTGTTTCTCCCCACTGCTTTTGATAAACTCATCTGCACTCACACTCCCCTATAAATCCCGTATTTCCTATTTCCTTGATCCTCATGTTAACCCAGCAGAAAAGCCATCAAACATCACAAGAAATTTATTTCCAGATAACTCCTCAGTTGCTCTTTCAGACTCCTACTGTAAGAAAGCTATAGACTTAAAAGCCACTCCCTCCAGTGGTTGGAACACGAACTTCAAAAGGTGACTAAACCAGAAAGTTCTGCAACCTCAGGTATATGTAATGTAAAAGGTTCTCTCACTTTCATCCAGCTTCTCCTGGAGTGCTTCAGCTGGTCATTACAACCAATGATCTTCCCCCAGATGACAGGCTGAGAACCACTCCACCGTGCTCTGACACGGGGAGAACGCCTAAGCCAATACATCATGCTGACATTCAACAGCAGATTAAATACAGTGCTATGTAAAAGTTTGGGCACCCCTCTGAGGCTGCATAATAATTTTCTCTGTCTTCATAAGAGAAGATCACAGCCATATGCCATTTTTGTTCTAGAGAAATGTAGACAAGGGGATGTTTATCAGACCAGGATTCTCAGTGTAGCATTATTGAGTTGTATGAAATAAAAATAAAATGTAAAAAATGGGATGTGCAAAATTTTGGGTTCTAACTGCATTAATTTGAAGTCCTGTAGTCATTCAATGCTGCCAGGTTGCAACACAAAATTGCTTTGATTAGCTCATTAGACCTTATACTACAAAGACAGATGCAACCAATCATGAAAAGGGTTATTTAATATAGGTAATTGCTAATTGTGCTTGTCCTTGGTTCTCTTTTGGAGAGTGGCAACAAGGGAACCTCAAAAGAACTCTCAACTGACCTAAAAACAAAGATAATTCATTGTTATGAATTAGGAGAAGGGTACAAGAAATTATCACAAAGGCTTGGACTGTCTGTCTTCACAGTCAGAAATGTAGTTAGGAAATGGAAGGCCTTCCTGCCAATCTTGTTCTCTCCCTACTGTGTCTCTAACAAGCCACACCTGTTTTTTGTTTGTCTTACCTTTTGCTCCAGCCCTTGTATGGATCACTCTAGCTGCCTCTTGTTTGCTCCCTCATCAGTCTTGTATAAACTTAAATACTAAGGAAATGAGCAGCTGGAGGTGAGTAACGTGGGGCAGGAATGAGAAGGAAGAATGACAGGCATAGGCGTGGCTTTTTACAGTCATGCTGGGGAGGAAAACAAGGGGGTGTGGCAGACAGAACATGACATATTCCTCATATTCTCCTTGTGCTAGAGTGCCTGTATTTTCTGAGCCCCTGAGGTCAGTTTTTGTTTCCCCATTCTCGTTGTGAGCTAAATAAAGCCCTTTTTGTTTGCCCCTACAGCTGCACTTGACACATAAGTTCTTTTAAGCTTTTTTCATGGAAATAGTTGTGATATACAAAATATTGTACTTTAATCAGGTCATTTAAATGACTGTATGTATACTCCGCAAAACAAAATAAAATGACAATGAAATAGGCCCACATAAGTTAAGAATATCCCTCGTGTTGAAACAGTTCTTTGCAAAGTAATCCTGCCAGTATTTTTATTGCAAATCACATAGTCCTTTGCATATTTTTCAAAAGCAACTACTGTATTTGTCTGAAAATCTAAAAAATGAAAAAGCTGAAAAATTCTACTTGCACTAGTGTTCAACCCCAACACATTAGTATTTTGTAGAGTCACCGTTAGCTGCAATAACAACAGTATTTTGGAGTAAGTAGCTGCCAGCTTTTTACACTCTTCGGGAGTGATTTTTCATGGTAGACATGCTCTAGGTCCTACAGGAGAGGTGGGTGTTGCTTGGTGACTGCAATTTTCAAAGAAAGCCACAGGTTCTCAATGGGATTTAGACCTGGACTTTAACTTGGCCCATTGAAACATTCACCTTCGTGTTTTATAGCCAGTATTGCTTTACCCTTGTGCTTAGGATCATGATCATTGTCCTGCTTAAAGATGAAGTTTTTCCTAAGCTTCAGCTTTTTGCAGATTGAAGCAGGTTTTGTTGTAATATCTTCCACCTGTTCTCCCTTCGACTTTGACAAAAGGCCCACTTCCTGAAGGTGAAAAACATCCCCATAGCATGATGCTGCTGTCACCAAACTTCACTGTAGGGATGGTGTTAATTGAAGTACGAGATTATTACATTTTTGCTACACAGAGTGTTTTTAATTTTGCCAAAAAATCCCTATCTTAGTCTCATCAGATCACAAAACCTTGACTGAAATGTTATCTGGGTCATTCTCTTACTTTCTGGAAAACCTGACATGCTTTGATATCGCTCTTTTGATTGAGGTCTTCATTCTAGCCACCCTCCCACACAGGCGGACAGTACTCACTGCTGCAGTAGGCAGTACGCTCTTGACATGGTTGATTGGTGCACCTTTACTCCACCCTCAGCCACTGAGCTCTGTAGCTCCTTCTGAGTGGCTGTTGGCCTCATTTTGGCTTTGCTCCCCAGTCCCTTTGTATCACTACCGAGTTTTGAGGGATGGTAGGTTTGGTGTAGCTTCCACCTTCTCAGGATTGATCCAGCAGTGGTTACAAGGATGTCCAGCCTCTTGGAAATTTTTGTAATCTATTCTAAATGTATGCAGTTTAGTTTATCTCTGACTTCTTTATAATGCTCTTTATTCTTTGTAAAGAAGATTTGATTAGTATAAATGAATCCGATTCTCACCCAGTGACAACCTTCACAGGGTGTCTGATTAGAACATCAAAGCTATGGCATTCCTCAGTCTGTGTTATTTATAGCTTGTTTAATAGCCACATCAACATATCACTCCACGAAAGCAGTCTAGACAAGTTATGCATTGGATAATTATGTAATTGTCATAATAAACATTTATAATAAACATCTGCTCTCATTACAAGGTATAGTTGTGATACACAAACTGCATACTTACTCTACATGCATGCAAAACTACATCATGAAACCAACAACACATTTGGGAGAATTACGGCGTATTAACTAAGCTTCTCCTACAGTTGAGAAACAAAAACCTAACACGGAATCCTTCGTGATGGCCCCAATGGCCGCAATAGCGCCTGCTCAGAATGCTATCAGGCTAACAGATAGCTAACTTAGCCTTTTCTACAGTCTTAATTTTCACTCCTGGGGGGTATTCCATGAAAGTAGCTAAAGAAAGGCAGACTTTCCCAAAAAAGTCTGACTCAAATTCGCCCCATCTCTAAAATTAACCTCATGTCATTCCACTAACTCAGTTCAGCTGTAAATAATCAAGGCTCATTCAAGACAGACTTGCATAGTCTCACTTAGGCTCACTTCTTAAATATCACACCCGAGATATTTAAGAAGCCCAAATGAATGGATGTACGATAGATTGATCAAATGAGTGAGAAAGTGCCTAAAACGAGAGCGGTGTTTTTTTCCGTAGCAGAACAAACGCTGCTTTTGGAGCTATATGCGGAATATAAACATGTCAACACTAAAAAAGGCAGTACTGAGGCCATAAATAAAACCAGGGAGGCGACTTGGCAAAGAATTGTCAACAGACTAAATGTGTAAGTTATGTAAATGTTACAAAAACTTAGTATGGTGGTACAGTGGTTTATGTTGTCACCTTACACCGCAAAAGTTCCTCGTTTGATCCCCATAGCCAACGAAGAACCTTCTGGGTGGAGTTCACATGCTATTCTTACTGTATGACGTTATTCTCTATTCTCCGTAAGATACTTTTAACCGCATCCATGTGAAATGTTCTGCAAAAATAACCGTATCTTGACTTCGCTTTTTACTAGTAAACTGTCAAAGCAGACTGTGACTATTCACAGTAGTGTAGAAAATATCTGATTTTAAGTCGACTTGTAACCGCTATTCCTGTAATACAACTAGGACTGGAGCTCTACCGACTTAGATGTGTGTGAACTTTAAGTAGCCTAACCCTTGCCTTACATATCCATTCTTCACTGTTACTCAACAGAAGCAATCTAAGTGGACAGCGATGGACCTGGCAGCAAGTAAAAACAAAACATAAAAATATCGTTCTTAATGGTAAGTAGCTCATAAAGAAATGTAAGTTTGATCAGAATAGTTCCAAAAATGTATAAATACCCTCGTAGCTGCAAAGAAAATGGGTCAGACCACTGCTACTGGTATGGGGGGGGGGCTCCATCTGAGCAGAGGAGGGAAGCGAGTAGCTACTCATTATTACTTCCAACATACTGTACATAGAGTCTTGGTCAAAGTGAACTTTGGAAAGTGTCATCTTTCCAAATACAAGTACACAGAGTAGCAACGCTCAGGGTAGACAGTTTAATCATGTAATTTGAATTCACACATAATGTACATAGTCAAAGGATCATAAGACAAAGACAATTCCATCTAAATGGACAAGGACAGTGCAAACAAGCTGAGGAGCATTTCCAAATAAATGAAATAATTTGTAATTTCTGTTGTAAATTCTCTGTCTCAGGACATACGTGCCATTTACACAAGGAAGCTGCTCTTGTCTGTTGAAAAGGAGAAGCTAGATACCAAATACAAAAAGCTCCTGATAAGGAAAATGAAGCTGTAGATTAAAAAAAGACTACAGAATGATGCAAGTAAACACTAAGAGCAAAAGTATTCTTGTATGGCTTGAACAGTTCTTGATTTTCTGTTCTCTCCACAGCTTGAATTACAGCCTAAATAAATATTGAATAGAGAAATGTCAGTTGAGCACATGTGTTTCATTTATCTAACAATACATGATGTGGGGGTTGGGACTCAATGCTCCCCCGTGGCCTTACATGAAGTAGTTGTTCCTGTAAAAGTCCCTCACGATCATTCCATCCATTCCCTCTTCAAGAGCTGGAATGTGCTCCCACTGCTCCTCCACCAGCACTGTGAGCAGTCTCTCCCAGCGTATTGTGGGAATATTGTGCAGAACGGCACAGGCCCCCACAATGTTGGATGCTTGGTCTGGCCTCACTCTGAGGCTCTTCAGGCACTGGAATCTGCAAGGGTTAAAGCAGTGAGAGCTCTGTTAGCTTGAAAAGTTTCCTTGCAATAATTGTGCAATGTGTATGTATTTCAAACCTGGATTTCAGTTGCCCAAAGTGCCCTTGATCTGGAGTGGGCGTTGTTAAATTGCCTCTCTGCCTCAGTTTGAGGTTCTGGGTCAGGGGTTAGCAGCTATGGCATGCAGGCATATCCCCTGTTCCCAAGCAAGACTCCATTAAACTCCCCTGCAGAAGGAATTATTGGTTAGATAGACTGTGTAAGACATTCCTACAGTTCAAAAGACCCCCCTGCACACATATTAAGACATAAATTGAAGTCATGTGTGCCTAATGACTTAAAACTATTTACTTCAGTGAAATTAGGACCTTACCCATCAGTAGTTTCCATGATAAATGCATGCTAAGTGAAAACGCTTGTTTGCCTCTTGCAAACCTCTGTGCCAGTGAAGATGCTCGGAAGATCCTGGAGTCATGGACAAAGCCTGGCCATTTTGCCTCTATGTTGGTAATTAGGCAGTTGCTATCACAGATCATCTGAACACAGAGAGTGAATTCAGTGAGAGGACATTTTGTCTGACAGAGCATTCATTTAAGATTGCTCCATGTATGAATTGATGAACAACGTAGTTTCCAATTCAGAGCAAAATCCCTCTACTGACAATGTATGGAGTTTCTCCTAATCTACTTACCTGTGCATTGAGGCTATGGAAAGATTTCCTGTTCACATAGTCTTCCTCCATTGGTCCAGCCTGGGCCTGTATCCGTACGTGGGTGCAGTCTACAGTCATTGGGGAAACCTGAGGGAAAGATTTAACTTACAGACATATCAATATTTCAGTCTACTTCAACTGTCACATACCTGCTACTACATGAAAGTCCTCCTTGATCATCTGTGTTGATTGGTGACCAGGAAAGATGATACAGATGTTCACAAATTGCCTCAGAGCAAGGTTTACCCTCCTTATTTCACGGTATACTGTTGCTTTAGACAGATGCTCAGCGTCACTAACACTGTAGAGGAATGTCCACTGGCAAAGAAGCGCAGTGCAATACAGACAGATTGCACTGTAGTCAGGCCATGGCTTCGCTGTGTGAGTTTGCTGAGATGTGCTTCCAGCAGCACACATAGGTACACTAGGCTGGGTCTGCAGAACCGGTATCTCTTCCACAGATAGTTATCTGGGAAGGCAAGAGGGTTTACTCTGTCCCTAAAGACCCTTGGGGCTGGTGGTCTGAATGCTCTTTGTAATATCTGAGCACGCTCCTCCACTGGGTCTTCAACAAATGGGCAGGCCATAATTATGTTCTTGCTCTTCTCTGGTTCTTTTGACTCTCCATGCAGGAGTTGGTCTCACTCCTCACTGCTGACCTTCACTACTGTATGTCATTAAGCTGACATCTTGTTCTCTTTTTAACCCCTCCTCCTCTCGTTATTATTATTACGTTACATTTGTCAGATGCTTTTATCCAAAGTGGACAATAGTATTGTTATGTGTCAGGATCAGTAGCGGTGCATGAGACGGGGAAGCAGGAGAAGGAGACGTAGGATTGGAGGATACGGGATTTAATCGACAAAGGGACTAGGGACATGGAGCAGGCAACGGACGGCAACACTACACAATGAGACCTCAATGACAAACCTAGGGAAACGGACTCAGACGCGGACTAAAATACACAGGACTAATCAGAGATCACTCGAAACAGCTAATTACAAACGAGGCAGCACACGTGGTTAAGGAGGGGGCGTGGCACACACGAGGATCGTATGAGCAGGTCATGACATTATGATTAATATCATAGTTAAGTATAATATTAATATATATATATTTTTGGTTAATGTACCGCTGTTCATATTATTCGTTTTTTACTTTTCAATTTCAATCGTTTCATGCTTGACCTTTGTAATATGGGTATGCTTTTATTTTTATTATTTTGGAATTAATTGCAATGCTGAGACATGATTTTTATAGGCTTTATCATATTGATCACATGACATGAGTAGTGTGAGTACGGAATTTCGTCCGATGGAACGATCTTTTGGGAATCTTTTCCCACACATCGGACGTTCTTTGAGACAACACTTAACTAAGCGAGGCAGTTAACCTGGTCCGGAGCAGATTTGTTCACTCATGCAAGTTACCATGGTAGCTCAGCGGGGATTCATTTAAGACACCTTGACGGAACAAAACTCCCACTTAAATGAACCAGACTTGTTGAAATAAGTCAGACTTTCCCTTAATCTTGCTTCGTGGAATACCCTGGTGTTAGTGATTGTCATTGGTGTTACAAGCAAGAAATGTAACATCAATGACAATGACCAACAATGCATATGTTCTGGGAGTGCATTACAATCAGACGCTTCTGGCATGAGATATTTTCTATAATATCCTCACTACTTAATAAGAACATACAACCCAACCCCTGCCTCTGTCTTCTTAATGATTCACAGCTATCCCTCACTCTCATTCAGCGTAGGTTGCTCCTTGCAGGACTCACTGCAGTAAAAAGACTATATTAAGATTTTGGTTCTACCCTAATCTACCTTTAACACAACTGCTTATCAGTACATCACTTCACTTGAGTGTACAACTGCACGCCTTAACAAGGCCAAAACCATCCAGGCTTGGTCTTGGATGACTCAGTCCATTCAAGACTTTGGAAAATAAAAGATCCGTGGTTAAATTTAGGGGTCTGGTATAAGATGCTCTCTTTTTCATTTAATTTGATGTAATGAGAGGAATGCTTGGCATGGTTTCATAATCTCAATTTGTAACTGCTCTCTGTAATTGACTATGGTCACTATCTGCTTCTTTTGTAATCTTTATATCGTTGTTTATCTGTGGTTTATATGTTCATGGTATATTGTATCTTCTAAAAAAAATGTTAATCACAAAAAAAAATCAATGACAATCGCACCAATGATAAACAACCATAAAAGATGTATTTTCCAATATGACATCAAAGGCATCTTGACGTACCGGTACTTACAATAAAATCAATCTATTATTACATTACATGCTTTTTTGTTAAAAAATAATTTTACAAGAACAACATAACATCATGTAACACCAATGACACAATGAATTGAACCGTGTGAAAAAGCACTTGAATTTAAAGGTAAATTTGTAGCTCAAAGAACGTGTTGATACTCACTGTGTACGTTTCAACAGCCTGTTCTTCCCGCAAACTTTGATCTAGGAAGTACATCTCCACAAATTCATATGCTTTCAAAATATCTGTTTTAATATCAGTAACACTGATGACATGAAATTAAAGGACAAACATTTATTTGAAATAATACAAATATAAACTTTATTTACATATTTAATAGACAATGCATTGACATCAAGTCTAAGTACATAACATACATGAACATTTTTTTAATAGCAGTAAATGTCACTTAAGCTCTTCCAACCATCCCTGCCTCCAACCATCCATCCATCCATCCAGTTTCTGTTAGAAGTGAACCTTCCATATGTATTCATAAAATGTAGGCTACTCATACAACAGGAAGAAAATCCATTAGATTTGTGTTAGACGTGAATGTTATTCTCCTTCTCAGTCTCTTAACCTCACATCAGAGTACAGACTACAGTCTTCCGTCTCTCTCGTTTTTCTTCGACTTTCTCCTTTCTTCTGAGTGAAGTGCAGGGCGGCGTAATTTAACATCTCCGCATCAGGATTCTGTGGAAAATGGGAGTCAAGTTCAATAAAAGGAAGAAATCAGGTCAGGTGTGTACAGTGACAAAGGGTCATAGAAAATTGACTGGCTGTTTACCTGACTGTTTGTTTCCTTACGGTCTTTGAGGTGCTCCACCTCAGACTCACAAGCTATTAATATAAAGAGGAACGAATCGTTAAAATATATGTTTCAATAAAATTTAATCAAAGTTGTTTTATTGCCCCTTTTAATTATAAATCGTATCAACTGGAAAAAGTCTGAAAAAGTTCGGGCTGAAGAAAAGAGCAATACCTGTGAATGGTTTTAAAGGAAGGCTTTTTTAAAAATTCGATGCTTTAGGATAATAGCCTTATTGAATTAGTTTTTCTGTTAGGTCTACTCAATTAAACTCTAGTTTACATATTTTTTATTCATTTACTTGACAGATTTTTTTGCAAATACCCCATTCCCAAAAGTGTTTTTACAATTCTGAATATCTCTGCAATAAATTGATCACTTATCATTTAGCTTTGCATCGTCACCATGATATATACTAACATAGCCTACCTGCACAATGCTCACAGCAGGTCCTCTTATTTCTTGTGCAGACCAGTGTAAAAATTACAGTCACACATAAAACTAGTGCAGCTCCCATAATTATAGGAATTGTATTGCAAGGTTCTGTAAGAAATTGAAAACATTTATTCCGATTGATTTATATAAAATACATTAATCAATTAACAGTAACAGGCATTATATAAAGAATATAACAACCTCCATATTTATGGTAATGGTTTTAGTAAAATTTATATGGCGTTTTCATACATAGAAATTACAGCAAAGTGTTACAATTTATGGGCATTCCTTGGGATTTGAACCCAAAACCTATGCATTGTTAGCAGAATAGGCTATTTGTTGAGGTACACGAGAACGGCAAAGACTTTCCTTCACTGTTCAGTTTGACATAAAGGCATTTAAAAAGTCTTCATTCTACATCTTTTATTATGTATCGTTGTTCTCTGTTTCATGTTCAGTATTATCACGATCGGCACAAAGTAATCTTTTTTCCTTATTTTTATCATTATTCTTATTGTTGTTGTTATTTCCCTTTACTGTAACGTTTGCAGTATAAAATCACTGAAATATGCAGTATATGTATTTATGTACATTGGGCTATAAAGTTACCAAAGCTGTCTTCAACATGCAAAAATCTGATATTGTGTCAGATGGGCACAAATGCAAAAATTGCAGCTTGATAGTGCTGGATATTTCTATTATTCAATATGTATAATATCAAAAATGGGGAAAATATAAAATTATATAACAATATTTAATCACACGATAATATTTTCATTAGTTGGACGTGGAAATGGGAAAGCTGACCTACATATTGTTGTATAATTTATGTAACATATAAATAATGGAGCAATTATTTTATTCTGCATAAACAAAGTTTTTATTAAAAACTTACTTTCTACGTGAATCTTTGTCCCATTGCCAAACAGCATCTCCCCACACATGGCCACAGCGCAGTAGTACGTCCCAGCATCAGAGGGGCTGAGGTTCCTCTTGGGGAGGCTGTAGACACAGCTCCGTGTAGGAGATCCAGCCTCAGGGCTCTTCTCACACTCATCACTCCTGTTTCCGTGGCTGTAAATGACTCC